ATTAGAAACAAGTGCCTTACTAGTAGTAACAAGAAGCTATTAGAAACGAGTGCCTTACTAGTAGTAACAAGAAACTATTAGTAACAAGTGCCCTACTAGTAGTAACAAGAAGCTATTAGAAACAAGCGCCTTACTAGTAATAGTAACAAGAAGGCTATTAGAAACAAGTGCCCTACTAGTAGTATGAAGAAGCTATTAGTAACAAGTGCCTTACTAGTAGTAACAAGCAGCTATTAGAAACAAGTGCCCTACTACTAACAAGAAGCTATTAGAAACAAGTGCCCTACTAGTAGTAACAAGAAGCTATTAGTAACAAGTGCCCTACTAGTAGTAACAAGAAGCTATTAGAAACAAGTGCCCTACTAGTAGTATGAAGAAGCTATTAGTAACAAGTGCCTTACTAGTACTAACAAGAAGCTATTAGTAACAAGTGCCCTACTAGTAGTAACAAGAAGCTATTAGAAACAAGTGCCTTACTAGTAGTAACAAGCAGCTATTAGAAACAAGTGCCCTACTACTAACAAGAAGCTATTAGAAACAAGTGCCCTACTAGTAGTAACAAGAAGCTATTAGTAACAAGTGCCCTACTAGTAGTAACAAGAAGCTATTAGAAACAAGTGCCTTACTAGTAGTAACAAGAAGCTATTAGAAACAAGTGCCTTACTAGTAGTAACAAGAAACTATTAGTAACAAGTGCCCTACTAGTAGTAACAAGAAGCTATAAGAAACAAGTGCCGTACTAGTAGTGACAAGAAGCTATTGGAAACAAGTGCCCTACTAGTAGTAACAAGAAGCTATTAGTAGCAAGTGCCTTAGCTTCCGAGTCTTCAAGATCTTTGCTATTAGGTTGGAGGCCATCGCTATCAAGTTGGAGGTCATTGCCAGTTGTTTTGTTTTTCTCTTCAAGATCTTTGAGCTTCTTTTGCTTCCTTGCAGTTTTGCTTTCTAGAGTTTTCACTGCCTAGCTCCCTTGGGGAAAAAAGGAAAGGAAAGCAGAATGCCCAGAATGCGTGCACCCAAACAGTTATCCGACAGCGACACATCTGTGTCCGAGGGCACGTGCCCTTCCACTCCACCACAGTGCCAACGCAAGGAGCTTCTGTGACACGTTCACCTGGGTGAATGGCTGCTTTGTATCACCAGAAGCCGAAGTTGTTGTGCCTTCTCCAAGGCAATTGAGACGAACAACGAACTAAGTTTAGGAGTGCATTCAGGTCCTCACGTTGGCTCACGGCATTGCCACTTCCTCAGCAAGTCACAATCAGAACTTCTGAACACACACACACACAACATTCCTGCAAATACTCTACCACTGTACTTGTCTGCTCCAAAGCTGTTGCCTTGGCCATGGGATCCAAGTCATACAAATTCCATCAAATTCCTACTAGTAGCAAATAGCTACTTTTTAGTAGCTTCTAGCTACTAGTAGAAACGCCCGGAGCTACTAGTAGCGTCCTTCCTACTAGTAGCGATGCACCTTGCTACTCGTGGCTTCTTGCCACCAGTAGATTCACACTGTTTGGACTTCACTTCCAAACCGATTAGGCTTACATATTATGTCGTCCCCGCCGATATTCAGGTGAAGAGGCTGGGATCCCTATTTATTTGGTAGGCTGATGACTATTTCTCTACTAGTAGGGTGGAGGACATCGCTTCTAGGTTGGAGGCCGTCGCTAGGCTATCGCTGGTAGGTTGGAGGGGAGGCCATCGCTAGCAGGACCTCCACCGACATCCAACTCTACAAAATGACCCCTCAGAGTTTGTGAGCCATTTGCTCGAAATGTACCTGGTGGGTTATACAACTTGGAGAGGAACCCAAGGCTGCAGTGAGCTACAAATAACCATTTTGCATTGCACGTGTGAGGGTGCGTACTCATCTAGTAGTAAAGATGACTGTGCATGAGTCCTCTGAGTGTGTGCATGATTATATTTTGTATATATTACTACATACCTGAGAAGTGCCTAGCTCCACTCGAGTCCTCTATGCCCATTGTCCAAATAGTCTCCAAAGCCCTTCATGATGCTAATGATGCACTACTGGGCGTCCATTACATCACTCGCATCACAAACACCATTTTCACTGCTTTTCGGACCCTCGCTTTGGAGCGCTCTCCCCCACCAAGCTCTGGCTTCACCCTATCAAAAGGTTCCGCTCAGCGACCACCCCACCCCCACACACCCCTTAACTCGCTTCGTTCGCCCTAAAAGCTCAAGCCTTGCCTATCGGCTGGCTTTCGTTATGGTATATGCGTTTCCCAGCACTCGCAAATCATGACTGATTTGATTTCCTATATCTTCCTGATCATCCATTGTAATTCTCTACGAAATGCAGGATGTCCTCTACAGAATGAAAGGAGCCGATCCACTGAACATGAATCTCCCTTTCACTACAAAGTGGTGACACCCGTGCCTGTGTGCAACAAACATCATGTATGGTCCCCAACCTAGGGTTGGGCACAAGCACCCGCCACTATCAAATGTTCCTTTGGTATAGGGGTAACTCCCGGCCATCCGTAGGCTTAATATGATGGAGGATCACTGACAGACCGCAGACCGCAGGAGCGAGCAAAACGGGGTTGTGAGGTGTGTACGACCAAACGATGGGCAAAGTGGACGGGTTTTACGTCGGTGCGTGCGACGAATTTCGATCACGAGCGGTTGCAGGTTCAGAACGACGACAGGTGGTGAATGTCGTCGCCGCTCGATGTTTTTATGTGTCATAAGAAACAATTTGCAAGCCAAGGCCTTTGACCAATTTCGTCACTAAGTAGGACGCCGCCGTTGAAGGCACCAGCCTCACCTGTGACGCGGTGTTTCAACTGAACTCCAATCCAAAGCTCCAAGTTTCTGTACCGCTGTACCGTTCTGGGGGCCCTGGGGCTATCTGGGGCTCAGACCCGAGCCCTCACCTTCAGAACCAACTGAAAGTGATCACAGTTGTCACGCTTGCATCTGGTCTGAGTCTGCAAGCTGCAAGCAATATGTACTTATCATATCTTATCATCACTTTGTACAAAAGCACGGTCACCTTTTCCTTGTTCCTTGAGACCCTTCTGTACGAGGGATCGTACTTTGACTGTGATGCCACAAATGATCGGTTAAGCTGTGTCAAACACCGACGAGACACCGCCAGGTCCATCGTTCTATACAGAAACTGGACTGAAAGAGCCAGTGCGACACTGAATCACTTTGGTCAAGTTGGGCACCAACCCCAGCTGCGCGAGTTAGGGGGATCTTCGTACATGCGGGACCAGCGTCTCGAGCGTCCCCATCCTCTCTCAGGTTCCCAATCCATGCTGTCACCTGACAGCAAAGACCCCGGAAACCGACATCATCGTGCAATTACTTTCATACATGGTCCATGATCTGGGTTTCTTCGTGAAATCATGGTTTCATCATAGTATATCATAGTTATAATGGATTCCGACAGATGGATCGCAACCAGACCAGCACCAAAAGCCTTAAATCACTGATCAAAGCACCTCCTCGCTGGGGAGCACGGTCCACAAGTCGGCGCAACTCCCGCCAAAGCATCTTCTCGCTTCCATTGTGCAGCAAGGTGCAGTTGAAGTAGCCATGATTGCTCTTCCTGCATCGAAAAAAGAGTTTGGGATGAAGGCCTACCGACACCAACATTCCGTGCTTCAGAATACTTAGCGTCCTTGCTCCTAGTAGCGATGCCAGGAGCCCCTAGTAGCGTCCTTGCTCCAAATAGCGATGCCAGGAGCCCCTAGTAGCATCCTTGCTCCTAGTAGCGACGCCAGGAGCCCCTAGTAGCATCCTTGCTCCTAGTAGCGACGCCAGGAGCCCCTAGTAGCGTCCTTGCTCCTAATAGCGATGCCAGGAGCCCCTAGTAGCATCCTTGCTCCTAGCAGCGACGCCAGGAGCCCCTAGTAGCGTCCTTGCTCCTAGTAGCGATGCCAGGA